TTAAACGATTTTTTAATGATGGTCTTGAACATTAATCAAAAGTCTAAAATGTTTAAATTTATTCAGTCTGTCAACATAGCGAATCGGGTTTGGCGACGCCAAACCTCGTACAAAGTAATGTTGACAGCCATTCTTTTGTGTATTATAGTATTCTATAGTCCTGCCCCTCCTTACCGGTACGAAGTTGCCACTCGGGAATCTTTCTTCCCCAACGGTTTTTGGTGTTTCGGACCGGCGACACACTTTTGAATTCTCGTCAAGCCTTTGTTCATGGGCAGCGGTCGATACTTACGATTAGGTGAACTGCATGCTCGTTTGCCCCCTCTTCTATAAAAATAAAATATATGACCGACACATTGTCACTCCAGCTTACTAATCCGAATCCGAAATCGATGGTAAAAGTGGCTCACGTCCGTGCTTTGTGGCATTCTTTGGTGGAACCCTATGTTACCCTTTACTTGTGGAGAGCTGTAAAGAGCTGTAATGATAATGATTAAATAAATATTTATGTAAAAATCATTCGAAAAACTATTTTAAAATATCTTTCGAAAATTTCGGAAACACCATTCATTTTATAGTAGTATAAAAAAGTTGTCTATGACTCGACTGCCACAAGACCAATAAATCTTCGGGACGCGTGTCGGGACGGGTCGAAATGTGACGCAAATATGGCGCTTAAGTGCTGCTAGAAATAGAAGCAAAAAAATTGCACCACTCACCGGAAATGTATTTTAACACAAAAAAGTATCACATTCTTATTTTATACTTAGCATATTTTACCTACTTTTTAAGATTTTTTTTTCATAAAATTAAAAGGAACTTTTGTCGTTTTCGTTTTTATTATAGGATAAGGGTGATAAATGAACATAGACCATACGATGGTAAGTAGGTGCTGTGGTCCATAGACATCTACATCTATCCTCAATTAATAATCGAAATGTAGATGCGTCGTCACCCCTGCGGACTAAGATGAAATGCCTCGTTTTCAGTGACCTCCAGTTCTCCATACAGCGGCATTAAGCTGCCATTTTACATTGGTATTGTGTGAGAGCGTGGTCTTTCCCCGGTCGAGCCGACCCATTAGTGCTGAAACCGTAATGGCTCTACTACGTTTATTTGTGATTGGAATTTTTAAGTAATTTCACAGATTATTTTTTAATGTAAGTATGTAACGGACGAGCACATAGTCCACCTGATGGTGTGGAAAAGGGGACAGACAGATTACTATTGTAAAATGGCAACTGGTTGCTCCCTTGTTTTATGTGGTGAGAGTTGAGAGCCTGATATCCATTTTACTGGTAACGATGCATACCATGTAAGTCTTCAGAGGTATAGGCATTCCCATAAAATGTACCCTAGGTTTTGTGTCCTATATGTAGGTACTATTCCAGGAGTATGGCTATTATTTTACGTTGGTAATTTTTGCGTACATGGTTCTTTCCCGGAGAAGCAAACGTATACGTCATGTGCAATAATAGGCTCTATCAAGTATATTCATATACAGTCATTTAAAAAAAAGTTACCCGTACCATGGCGTAACAAGCTAATAATAAAATAAAATAACTGTAATCTATAAAATTATCTTGTTCGAATTTTAAATTAAATATAGTGTTATAGGAAATTTTATAGCTAATGAACAAGACGCACCGGTCAGTTCGATTAATACAAGAATTTCTCCAATGGAACCTTTTCGCCGTCCCAGCCCGGGTGACTAATAATAAAAATAATTACGGACGGACAGACGACATTCCTGACCGGCGTCCGACTTATCGCGGAAATAAATTTACTCCGGTCCCTTACGTCCGATCGGGCGGCCTTGTTAAAATATCTACATAAAGTCGAGGCACCTATCGTCATGTAAAGGAGACAGAATGCGGGAGTTCCTGAGGACAAATATGCAGTTCGAAGACGCTTTGCGTTTTATATTATTAAAAGTTTTACATTTCGGAATATGCAAAAGGTTTTGTGTAAGAGAATGTAATTAAAATTATGCCGTATGTGGCAGGATCCACGTCGATCCCATTCACGAAACCCTAGCATTAAAAAAAAATCCGGTCGACGCTATAGTCTTTTTTTACCGACCTGATAGTAGGTGTCGACCGTCTCATGAAAAACTGCAACACCAGAGGCATTGTAAATGCGTGGTCGGCCTTTTAAAAAGTAGAAAGCCCGTTTCCTGAAGGTCCCTAAGTCGCACAGGTCCAGAAAAATCCCCGGTCAAACAACTCCGGACAAAGCAGTCGCGCGTAGAAGAAAATTTCTAGTAGAACGCATAGTGGCAGACCGCCAAGCGTCCGGATGGCGTGGATGGTATCGTGAGTATTGTTGCGATGTGCGTTGGTGAAAGGCAATATTTTTTTATCAAGGCTATTTTTATTTTATCTTTAATCCCACAATTGGGATCAGTTTGGTGAACGTGTAGTGGTCATGTAACAAAGACTATATAACCAGTAAGAATATCCACTGTCCCATGTCGTCTCATGGATGTTACAAGAGGCGACAGATGGAAATAAACCAGGAGATGGGCAGCGTCAACGTCTTCCCAATATTCACTAAAAACAGAAACTGCGGTTGTTAACCCGTCTGCCGAGCGTAGCAACTATGGCAACAATTAGCAGTGGACTTTTGATAGGCTGTAACAGAGTAAATGAGTGACCCTTGAACATAGATGATATTGCCCTTAAATATTTTTTGATAAAAGAGTATTAAACAAGGTAATTTTCAAGTCAAAAATGCTCATATGATCGTCAATTCCAGGTCTTTCTTTTGGAATTAAAAGAAAGACCTCTACAAACAAGACCCGGCATAAAATTCTGGTGTCGTAGCTTTTTAAAAAAAAATTAACTCCATTTTGAATTTAGAATTATTGAATGAAAATTGGCCGAAACTAATAAAACGTAGTGATTATAATTTTTTTTATTGTTGCAACTCTATTCTCTCGCTAGAGCATTGAAGTATAATGTACCTATTTACGTACAGTTGGAGAGTGTAATTGTTATTCGATTGTTTTCAATATTTTCTTCAAAAACAATACGGTTTTTATGCAAGTCGGTTGACAAACGCAGTTTTGTGCATTGAGTTATAATGTACTACGTACACGTTATAACTCAATGGTTTTGTGTAGTAGTTAATAAGAAGATTCTGCTGTTCCATCTGTCGCCTCTTACAAAATTAACGGTACGATATGGGGTATTGGATATTCTTACACCACTACACGGTGAGCCATTTTTAATACATGAACGTCATTTGTAAATAAATCATTATATTAAAAAAAACGAGCATGACTGTCAATTCCGTAACCGGTTTAAGATCATTTATATTAATCTACGTAAATTTTTTACCAATACTCGTCTGACGATGATGTAGCGTTCAGTTCGATCATTTATTTCAATTTTTATATCGCGTGATGACAAGCCAGTGTTAGCGCAATACTTGTAACAGCCGTGCGGCTTGGTAGACGGAGTATTCGGGTATTGAATCGTTGGTCTTAAGTTCAAATTAGGACTTGCAAATATTCGAAAATTTTTGGTATTCGAATATTCGACTTTTTTTCGGGTATTATTCGAATTATTCGAATAATTAAAGAAAAATAAAAGCTGTTATAATTATTATCATGTTTTAATTGCCGATCTCTTACTTAGAGTCTAATTTCTCTGAACCAGAACCAAATCATAGTAAAACCTTAAATAGCTGTTTGTAATTACACTGTTATGGCACTAATGCAGTTCTACAAAAAAACTTACACTTGAAGTGCAAGCCTATCCTACATTGAAAAAAATCTTCAACGTTTCCCTTGTAAGTGGGACTTAAGGAGACTTAGCGCGTCTAAGGAATATATTTTAAAGCGCATCTTAAATGGTTGCAAATGTATTTTGCTGATGAAAACACCCTTTCACACTCTGCTTTTAGTTGGTATACACACGAAAAAGTCATACGCTAGGACCTCTGTTAAATAGCGCCATCTGCGTTCGCACTGACGTTTCTAACTCATCTCTATCTGATAAATTAGCTGTAAACATCGAAGGAGTTGCGGAATTGGTGTTATTTATCATTTCTTGTATCTCTTCCTTAAAGCTCATTTCAGATGTACCCTGGTATGACTCGTTTTATTGCTGATGCTGGCGTTCCCGCTGCTGAAGTTGAACTAAGGTTATGTCATCTTCGTCATCATCAGAATTCTGTCTTTTAGAAAAGTATCTCTCGGTAATTTCAGTTATTACTTCTCTAATAATGTTATTGCCTGGTAATGGAAAGATAGATTAAGGTGGCTCTGCGTAATATTTACTGATATTGTGGAGATATTTTAATGTGCATATTAAATTTGGTAGGCGTCTCTGAGCAATTCTATTCTTCAGAGCTTCGAGTAGCCTGACATTAAAAATAACTGTTCGTCTTTTTAATTTTCGCAACCATAAGTTGAAGGACTTCTTGCATAGCGCAGCGCCTCTACTGTTGCCTTTACAATATGCAAATAAGGGACAATTCCTGCAGTAAAGCCAGCTCAGCTAAACTAAACGTGGTATCGTACTTTAAATCAATAAGAATCTTCAAAATAGGATCTTTAAACGCCAAAATCTTGTAATTATATCGGCTAAACTGCTCAACCTGGTTTTACAGTCTAGGATCAAACCCATTTTATTCTGTTCTTCTTGAAGATAGTTATCGAGAATATTTACTGGTGAGTGACTTCCTAAAAATTTAACTATTTTTAGCAATTTCTCTATAATATTTTTTAAATTCACATCTCTGTATAAATGTCGGTCTCGGTTTCTGTTTAGATATTGCTTAACTACAAATCCTCCTTCTTCACTATCACTGAGAGTCAGTATCCTCACTTGTCTCTTCTTTGTTTTCTGCAGATTCTTCCCCTTCTTCTTCTAGCTCATCTTGATTCTTTTTTTATTTAGCAACCAGCACTGCGCATTGGATACCATGTGCGGAACATAATTGATTGTACGAAGGCACTTGTCGCATGCATGACGGAGCAAGCGTGATGTGTGCTAAGGGTCGACAAGTGCCTTCGTACAATGCATGCATGCCATGTCCTCTTCCAAAGATAGATCATAGGATGCTAACTTGTCCTTCAAAATATTAGCACAACGCTCCGCCGTTGCCCTGCCAGTTATTCTCGCGAGTCCCAAATTCCTATATCCCTTGCCTTGGAAATTTGAACAATGAATGTTAATGTTCATGTAACGTCAGTTACCAGCTGAAATCCATTCGTCTAGGGAAGCGGAAAATTTATTTCCTGGGCCTTTAATTTCTCCAATTCTTTCTTCAGATCACCTTTTAATTGTTGTGTCGTAATAATTAAATAATGTCGCGCTCTAACTTTAAAAGTAATATTTACAAAAATATTCCGAGTTTGGCTCTCAGAAAATGAGATGAATATTCGAATACAGCAGATTTAATATTCGAATATTCAGACAAGGTATATTATTCGAATTATTCGAATATTCGAATACAAGGCCTAGTTCAAATCCAGTATTAGTTCGATAATAATGTCCGCCAGTCTTAATTTCGATCACGGCAGTCTACAAAAGGCTCGTCATCTGCACAGGACAGAATCAGGATCTGCCAAAAATGGGAAATATTACGGGCTGATAATGATGATGATAAAGATTATTGAATTTTCCCTCGAAACCTTTTATAGTAAACACTCCAGCAGGATATAGGTATACTGGGGCCTCTCGGCTCATAAACTATGTGCATCAAATACAAGGGAAGCTACTTTTTACTAATGTAGTACCAGTAGCAACCAAGTAGGTTTTAAAACTGTTTAAAATTGTAGTTAAATAATGCAGTGCTTAGCACGATATATAAATCAATAGGCCTGTTATACTTACATGTTTTTGGACGTAAAGAAAAAATAAACGCAACAGAAATGTTGTTAAAAAAAGTACAAACTAATATTTATTTTCATTTTGTGTATGTTTATTATACTCATTATATTTAAAAAAAATGGTTTATTACCTGTTTACATTTGTAATACGTCAAAAAGCCTTTGAAAAGCGTTCAATGGTTTCCCCTCTAAAGATTTTGCATGTACTTCCATTATTAAATAATTAAATGAAATATGCAAAATGCACAACATGAATATAGACACAAAGGGCGCCATATTTAGTGAATTATATTAATAATTAATATTCACGGCCATTGAGAGTGTATTCCTTTTAGTTGTCCATCATACAACCCTAGTAAGTTGCGAGACAGGAGCGTAGTAATATGCGATTAAATAGTTTTGATACTTGCACTGATAAAATATTTAATATATATTTTTTATTTAGACATTAAGATTTATTCAATCAGTATTCCTCAATACCAGCATAAAATATGAGGGTAATGCTGTACAGGGTAGTGTTTCGTATGGAGAGTGTAGAGAACAGGAGACCCTTTTTACTGGAATCGTGGCATTCCATTTTAGTCCTCAGGGGTGACAACGCATTTGCATTTTGTTTCTTAATTGAGGATAAATGTAGATGTCTATGAGCCACAGCGTCCACTACCATCAGGTGGATTGCGTGCTCGTTTTTCACCCAATGCTATAAAAAATACCTAGAAATTGTGTACCAGTGCATATTCCCATTAATAAAATAAGAAACTAAGCAGTGAACCTACACACGTTATCAATTTAGTCCATGTAAATGGCTATGTTTATAATATATTTGTGTAATAGAATTCATAAGCCTAAGTGGCAATTTGTGGGCAATATAGTTCAAACGATCGATGACTGGTAAATGTGCGATGGGTGCAGGTTGTTCAGGATCATGCTTTGTGGCAGTCGTTGGATAGACTTGTGTCGTAAATGTCTATAAATAATTTTCATAATGTAATATAGGTAAATAATGATTATTTTAACTATTACTTAACTAACTTATTTAAAAAAAAACTTTCTGTATGGAGGCGGTGTAAGAGAATCCATTACATTTTGCTCATGGATGTCGTAAAAGGCATCCTTAAAGAAATCCAAAACGTTATGGCTTCCGATAGATGGCGGCATTTTAATTTTATATATAGCAAACATTTTAATATTTCAATTGTTTTGGCGGTAGGCGTGAAATAAAGTGCACATTGCTCTAAGTAACAAAATTATTTTTTATTGATATTTTAAGTAATTTATAGTTTCCTAGTTTAGAGCTTTTACTATTTTTGTGTATTTAAATACATACATTGTGGGTTTAACTCCCCTTAATGGTTAAACTGTGATAAAGTTACATCACCCTATCACCGGTCACTTTCAACTCTCATAACACACCAGAAGATAAGTTTTCCAGAAAATGTCCACTATTTCCGAGTTAGCAAATATCCAAAAGGCTGCGTTAACTTCTCTCAATCAACATGAAATCTCTCTCAAGCGACTTTCAAGCGTTTAAGGATAATGTTTGGCAAATCATGTCACTATTACACCAGAAGATCAATGAGGTTAGTCAAACTGTTGACAATATTGAGATGCGGCATCGAAGAAAATATTTGCTTAAATGATTCCGGATATTGATGAAAACATCTTAAATAAAGTTGTAACTGTCCTGTAGGATAAGCTTCAACCACAGGAGTTTTCTTCAAACTCCATTACGGCTTGCCATCGTCTAGGTGCAGTATCTGAAGCTCGTGTAAGGCGAGTTCTGATTCTGTTTAGTGATCAGTCCATTAAGTCAACCACTTGGGCCAAAAAGACTCTGTTAAAAGGCACTTCATATGTGCTGTCCGAGTTTCTTACTCGTCAGCGTCAAGGTTTATTCATTGCTGCACGTAAGCACTTTGGTATGAGACAAGTTTGGTCGCTCGATGGTAATATACACGTCAAGTTGTCTTGTGGTAAGCGCCATCGGCTGACGGACACCAAGGACCTCGATGAGCTCATTACACAATATGAGCAGCCTGTTGCATCGGATCGACTATCTGATTCTACAACGAAGAAAGTGTCACCAAATGTTAACAGTGGTAGTGCACCAAAGTCGACGGTGAGGTCCAAGCGCATAATTCGCAAAAAATAACTCTCATCGACTTCGCTTTATTCTCATGTTGGATTTAATTTGTAAGCTGTCATGTGTATTTGTTATTTGTCTTAATATTGTTGATAGCAACTGGGTATATTTATTATGATACTGTATTAATAGTAGCATAATAACTTTTATTTACCTACATATTAAAGTAATATTTTCTTTTTATTAACTGGCTTTACGGCTCTGGGTTCTAGTCCTTCTGAGCCTAAGTAATATTTTACTGAACTAAGACCATAGATAACATATTATAAATAAGACATAATATTCACAGATGTCAGATGACATAAACAGATGGTTATGTTGTTAGCTTCGGTTACATGACCTTTTGCCATGCTAACTACATTACTATTGACAGAATATGTACACAAGTTATATTTGATTCAACTTTATTTTAGTTATATGTAATAATCTAGCCTAATTACTTATTACTTTGTTTTTTTATTATATTTTCTTTAGTTGTTTACTTTTAAATGCGTTGCACGTTTATTGATTTTATTTTTATATTTTGTTTTAACTTGGCATTTGTTTTCTTTTATTTTCCTGGTGTTAGTTTTAAGATTGTAAACAGTTAGCCGGAGGGTGATATATGGAGATACATATTTAGTTATTTTTTGTAATATTCAGTTATATTCAATTATAAAATTATATCAAATAATATAATTTTATAATTTTAAATATTTATATATATTTAGTATTATTTTATTATACTATAATAATTATTTTAAATATTTTAATTTAATGTCAGATGATGAATCTTTTTATTCCACTTGCAACAGTTCCTTTCCCTTTCACTTGTTGATGCTTCGGATGAGCCTGCCACGCTACGTACGCTAAATATACGAAGAATCTCAAAAATTGTTAAACTGTTTTTACATTTGTCATTTAAATGCACAAAGTATTCCTCAACATCATATGGAGCTCCTGGATACCTTTTCTTCTAATGCAGTTCATGGCTATACTTATATCCGAAAGCTGGCTCAAGCCAGAACTCTCTTCCACGTCTTATAGTCTTCCAGGTTATATTTTACTCCGTACCGACCGCACTGGTAAAAGAGGCGGAGGTGGCGCTATTTATCTGCGTAGTAATTTACCTTATAAAATATTAAACACATCTTCTTCCCTATATTCCGGTTCAATGGAATACATTTTTATCTTACTCTTGTCTACTGTCCACCTCAAGTGAACTACTTCTCCGATTTGGAAGTAATTTTTTGGCTTACAGTTCTGCCTACACACATCACATTATCATGGGAGACTTTAACACTGACCTATCCGGGTTTCTCTTAAATTTTCAAAACTGAGGTCGACTATGTTGTTGCATAATTTCACTATTTTGCCTGTAAATGCAACAGATTACAACTTCCACTCTGCTGACACCTGGATTGACCTTATAGCCGTCTCCTCCGTTGATCACGTTGTCAATTATAAACAATTCCCTGCTTCTGGATTTTCACGGCATGACCTGCTTTATCTGTCATATAAATTAGTCTCCCAAGGCTTTATCTGTGTCCATCTCTATTCGTAGTCTTGTTAGCATAGATATGGACAAGCTTAAATGCGATGCAGATGCTATTAACTGGTATCTGGTACTCATCTGTATATACTGCTTCCACATTTGATGAAAAAGTCGACTTCTTTAACAGCAACATAATAGGACTGTATAATAAACATTTTTGGAAGCGTCCTCCTGTTCCATGGATCACGATTGGGGTAAGAATGGCTATGGCTAAACGCGATAGAGCTTTCCGTGCCTTCAAGAAGAATCGCACTGATGTAAAGTGGCAAGCATGTAAAGCTGCAGGAAATCGATGCAATCGGATGGTGAGAGCTGCTAAACGCCGTTATATCCACGAACAATTACTTAATTCATCTTCAGCTGATATATAGAAGTTTCTGAATACGCTTGGATATGGAAAATCGCAATTTGACTATAATAGCGTCACCTTTTCTCCTGACGATTTTAATCGCCATTTTCTGTCTTCTCAAATAGTTTCTGATAATTCTAGAGCTATTGCTATCTCCTTTATATCTCCCATGCCTCCTTATTCTCATGAAACTTTCACTTTTACTCATGTAGACGAAGACGAGGTTATTGATTATGTCGATGTGTGTTGCTCAGATCTGCCTCAACTTCATCTTCGTCTACAGGAGTAAT